CCCCCCTGGCAAAATATTTTTTCCAACCCTGTACATGTAAAAGAATATCATCATACTACATGATTATGGTTACATGACACTGACGATTCAAAATTTCAAATCAATCAATCAGAAAATCTACGATGTGAAGAAAGCATGTTGGTGCAATCGATTGACATTCAGTTGAATTTATAATTTGATAGCTAACCATGTCATGTTGATGGGAGATTTTATACTTCACCTTACACTTTGAACAAGTATTTATCATTCAGCCATTTACTCATGGTACACATGAGTTATCTTTATTTAGTAAAATGTTTAAATACTTAAATTTTTTCCTTAATATTATGATATGTTTCGTTACAATAGGTGTATTGGTAGTATACACAGTGCTACTTAATCATAAAGAAAAAATATTTACCGATTTATTTAACATGGTCTTTCATGAACTGAAATGATTCAACAAAAACTAGATCCTCTTCTAATCACTATGATTTTGAGCCTGGAGTTACTAAGTAATTACAATTTAAATGACTGTGAATTTGACGAATCATCTTCTTTATTAAGATATTTTAGTGATTATTGGAGACATCGACTTTCGAGATGGAATGCTTTTGATATTTCTAACAAAACTAATCATTTTAGCGATGGTATGAGACAGCCATTCAGCAGTTATATTTGTTACTAACAGTTTCGCATGTGTAAAGGATATAACAATAAGTTCGAAATGCGTTAAAAAAAGCATCTTCATATACATTTTTTATTGGTTCAATTAGGAAAACACGACCTGAAAGGAGTGTTGAAGTGTTTAGGAGTAGAAATTTGCACTCCCCCCCCCCCCCCCCTACAGATCGTGACAGACAGGGTGCTGATCCCATCAGGATGTGGCAGAGGGAGTTCTGCTTCGATCACAGACCGTCACAGATAGGACTTTGAGCCTATCATTGGTTGTAGCAGATAGGCTTCAGGAGCCATCATTGACTGTGATAGAATGCTTCAAGGAAATATCAGAGATAATGCATAACTCACATATGATTGAAGCACTTATGGAGTGTTATCCTGTTCAAAGTATGTAATGTAAAGTAAGCTATGATGAAGCAACGTGCGCCAATATGTATAAAAAACAACAGTTTTTATAACATTGGATACAGCAGCTACGTCGTGTTTCACATTTCTAATTCCTCAAGGGATTGCGCTAACAGCTTTTATTGGTTCAATTAGAAAAGAAGTCAACACCATCGATCATATAATTCTTGATAAAAATAGTGGAATGAAACCTCGTGCAAAACGATCAAAGTCCAGAATTATGGAACAGTAAACTCAAGAATTATATGAACGCTTCAGCAATAATTTAAATATGTTGCAAGAATTATTTCATGGACTTTTATTTTTTCTTACAAATAATATTATTAGGGTTCTTCTAAAATAAACTTCATTATTAGTAGCTTCAGCAACTGGTGTTCATATTTTATTGAAGAGGTATTTGGATAATAGATGAGATTTTTGTGAAGAACCATCTGACTAAGATCTATTTCTCAGAAACATTTTTATCTGAAGGACATTTAATCTAAAAAACATTTTTGCAAGGACATTCAAGCATGAATTCTTAATTATATTCAGAGAATTCAACAGTCTTCAGATAAAGAGTATCAAACCGGATTATCTTAAGCTCGTAATACCTTTAAATCTCACAATCGTGACTTATGAGAGTTTTGGATGATGGAGTTCAAGTTTTCAACATAAACATAATGATGCGTCTGTTTCTAAAACCGTTTTCAGAGAAAAAAAAACGGTAACTACATATAAAGACTGATAACTTAGAAGAGATCTTCTAGAAAACGAAGTACTTCCCATATATTAAGTTTAGTTTCATGATATTTTTCCTTATACGCAGATGTATTATCTGCCTAAAATAGAAATGTAGACTCAGTCATTTGGTAACTTGCTGAGTGATGATCATCAAACTCAAGACCAAGATGAGCTCACGATCATATGTTTTTATAATCTTAACGTGTTGGCATTTGATATCTCAAGAAAAGTAAACGAAGATTGCTGAAAGTGTGTAGCTGGATGTGAGTATTAGCTTTGGTTGGTATATCACATCATATCCTGTTACAATTTTGAAGTGGAAACAGACTCATTTGCAGAAGTCAGGATATATTTAAGAAAGAATCGATTGAAATTCTTTCTCGGGTTTTGTAAAACGATATAATAGTGTTTAGTCCACATAGGGATAAAATTGATTTTTTTATAGCCTCTTGTCTATCGATTGTCTGGAAAATCCTAAAGTCTATTTAAGTATTTCTTCCCCCAAAGTTAAAATTCCGAATACCTATGCTTGACAGTTGTTCCTCTTGATTGTTTTGTTTATTTTTATCACGAGCTATCTTGAGTGTCGACAAAAGTGCATCTAACGTGTTTGTGGCATCGTGGTCTGTTGGTGTAAAATCATTAAATATATATTTATCATTATTGAGTATTCCTTCATCTTCGCAAAGTATACTATAAGCCTTCTCTAGTCTTTCTTTTGTTTTTTGTAAATATTCCCTTTGATTTTGAATGGAATGGTCATCGCTAAGATGTGCATCAATCAAAGCAGATTCTTTAGCAGAAATTTCGCGTAAACGTTGTTTGATATTATCACATACACTAAACGCACATCTTGCACGTATAGATAATGTCACGTACTCTGTAAAGCGTTTGATCAACATATTCCAATATGAATATATACTAATTAACATTTGTTTTAACGCTTGATCATCCACTGACATAGCATCGTATACAAATATATCATCATCATCATCACCACCACCAAGGACTGTTGCCTTGAAACTACCTGCATTTGATGAATTCATGGATTCTTTTGAAAGAGCTTGATATTTCTCAACTAATGTCATATAGTAGGTATTAATTGTATATGGATCATTTTGATCCAGTTCAAGCAAAGAATGTAATTGATCAAGCACTGCTGTCTTCGATTCGTTCAGGCATAGGTTGGTAATATGTCGGAATATATTAATTATTTTTGACAACAAGAAATTATCCGCACATGCATTAGTTCCTACTTTCAACAATATGTTTCTTGTTGCAGCAAAACATTCATCAACGAGTTGAACTGTGACTTTCCATAGTTGATCAAGCTTCTCATGTATGAATTTTTTTAGTATGAGACTCGTTAGAAAATTCGGTAGTTCTTCTCCTCCACGTTTTGACAATTCTAATTGGACGTTTGCGCGAAATTGGGCTGAAAGCAATTCTCTTCTTTGTTCCATAATGACCTGCTTATACGTTTTGAATTTTTCATGCAACATATTTATCATACTAATGCGTTCACTATCATTTGAACTTATAAGCTCTGCTTTTAAAATCTTTTCAACATATAGATCTACTAATTCGTTGTATGCTGTTAAACGTGCTCCGGTTGTTTTTAATTCTGTGGGAAGTTTTGATTGTTGTTCACGGATGTCTGTTAATTGGACTTCTATTTCGTGTCGCATTTTTGGAAAAGTCTCTTTCACACGCTGGGAGTACAAAGTTGCCAAACAGCTAATTAGTGCATCAATACCCAAACATTCTTTTTGAATAACAGCACTTGCTGCTGGATGTTGACTAAAGAATTCTTTTTCGCGATTGCGCGCATCCGGTAAGGAAATCTTTTCATCGGAGCTACGATTACGAACGGCTACAAAACCTAATTTTAAATGAAGTACGTCCCGTCTATTCATTAGAAGTTGTGCTATAAGCATATCCTGATCTGGAGCAAGATCAGTTTTCGTTATCACACCAATTGTTCGTTTACCTTCTGGATCTACGTTACGTGCTAATGATAATGCTTCCGCTACTGCAACATCAACATTGGCAGGAAAAACACACAGAATAAGACTACCTTCTGGTTGAATATATTGACGAATTAAATTAGTTGTTTGCTCATGAATATTGCTTGGCTGATCAGCGACAGGATTATGTGCTATACCAGGCAGATCGACGACTGTTAAGTCACGTACACAAGGATCTTCAATTTGTAACTCAATCAACTGGTGCACAATATTCTTCTGGTTACCAGCTAAATTCCTAGTCTCTTGTTCAATGTATTGTGACATATTTAAGTTTTCTTCGTCCAACAAAGCCTTTTGATTATCATCATATAAGCGATACACTTTTCGTTCTTTAGAGTTACGTAGTCTTAATACCAATGGACATCTAGTGACAATGCCAGGACCTTTTGGAAGTTCAACCAATGATAATGCTTCCAATAATGATGATTTACCACTTGATTGATCACCAACTACGACAACATTTGGAAAAGTAATCCGATCACTGTTCGGTAATAAATATCGTCGAGCTTCATCAATTTTGTTCATAAGAGGACGAACCTTCTCATCATACGCTTTTGCAAACGAATCATTGGTTTCGGTATCCATCGAGTATGCTGAAACGATATTTAAAAAAATTATAAAGATGAATTTCCTAGTTCAGTTCATTTAAGGGCGGAAACTCTCTGACAGTCACAAGTCATAAGAACATCCTCAATCATTTCGCCAAACTTTATATGCACTAACAGTGTACGTCTCTACAAATGTGTGGTTGCCAATCTTTCTCAAAGACAGATCCAACCTTATACATTTACAGCCTCCCATTCTTACCTATTTCATTCCATATTTATGAGAAAATTTAACTTCAGATCTAATTAATAGTGTACGCCAAATTTTGCACAATGGGTCTCGCTGAACTTTCTCATTGTACATATTTCTCACTGAAGTATTAATTTCTCAAAATTCGGAATCAAAGTCCCCAGTCAACCATAAACATAACCTCAAGATTGATAATGAGCAACACGCAACAGAACTCTTTGGATGATCTTCATGAAAAATTGATGGCAATTACCAGCGATGTCCTTTCATAACTGAACATATTGTTTCCATTCTATTTAGTTCACTCACACCCGTTGAGATATACGAATCGAAACGCAAACTATTCAAAGAAAAGATAAGGAGTATATGTAATTTTTTTATACAATACAAATTTTTACTGCCTTTGACTTTCGATGAACAAACAGATAAGAAAAGATATGCTTCAGTTGGGAATCGAACCCATGACCAAGACTGGTTAACATTACCCGTGCTGTAATCATTGAGCTATGGAACCTCAGCTGACACATATTTTTCTTTTCTGAATGATATTTAATCATCGAAAGTCAAAGAAAGTAAAAATTTGTATTGTATAAAGAATCAAAACGCAATATTTAAAAGGACGGAAAAAATTGGAAAAATTCAAAATTTTGAAAATGTATGGGATTTGCTCATTCAATTGAATAGTATCTCAAAAATAAGAAGAAAATGTATCGGTTCAGTAAACTATACTACTTTGTGCAGAATTTCACGACGAATCTTTTAGTAAAAAAGTTGAATTCTAAACCATAAAAATTAGAGAAAATATTCTGAAAATACTGTGGATGCCATTCAACCTGGGCCACCCGATATATCTTCCTTATGTGATGTTGAATTTTCCGCTTACGATGCAGCATTTCCTCGAAAAGATGTAAGCACGTATCTAATTTTCGGGATATATGTCACTGCTGTTGATGCCAATCGTTAGCAATTTCTTTCGGTAACTAAACACATCGTTATCTTATTATCTGTTTCCTTCAGCTAGTGAATCTTGACTAAGGAACTCTCATCGATTCTGGACAGGGATCATCGAACTACTGAACCTAATCTTGATGATTGAAATACGAAAAAAATTGCTGTCGCTTCTAGCAAAGGGTGTGGGGGTGGGGGTGGGTGTGGGTGCAGGTGTGAGTGTGGGTGGGTGTGAGTGTGGGTGAGTGTGAGTGTGGGTGAGTGTGATGTGGGTGTTGCTTTTCTTAACACCCACCCACCCACACCCACCCACACCCACCCACACCCACCCACACCCACCCACACCCATAAAAATTCTCTACTTTCGGTCAAAAAAGTGGGCTCCGAATTTCGAGCTCACTTACGCATCCATACTTTGCTCAATGACCTCTGTTCTTGCTTTAAAGTTAATAGTAAACGGTAGGCTCCCATCGATAATAGCCATAGACTATGGGCATTATGTAACTGTAAATAAATAAATAAATAAATTAGTATGCATCTTAATTAGTTCTCATCTTGATCAATACTCATTTTGATTAATACTAACCAATTAGCACTAATTAAGATAAGTACTCACGACTCTCGACGGGTTAAACCATGAAGACGCATAGGCACTCAAGTGCTACGCCATGAGTGTACCCTTAAGTCCTCAAGCACTATCCTGTAGAAGTACTATTAGGTCCTCAATGACTATCCTATAAGAGTACGCATAGGTCTTCAAGGGCCATAATATGGAAGCATCCAAGAATCCTAAAAGGCCATCGTATATAAATATCCATAGGTCCTCACGGACTATTCTATAGGGGTGTTCATAGGTCTTCAACCGTTTTCCTATAGGAGTACCCATAGCTCCTCAAGGGCTATCTTACAGGGGTACCCATAGGTTTCCACGGGATATTATACGGGATTCCCATAGGTTCTCGCGAATTTTTCTATAGGAGTATCCGTAGGCCCGCAAGCAGTATAATATGACAGTGCACATTAGAGCTCTTGAGATGCTATGGACAATTATTTTTAAAGCACATCACATTTACATCGACTCCATGGGAGTGGGATCAAACTTTCTGAGCTAGTAGAATTTGATATACTGATCTCGAAAAATAGCTTGAAATTGTTTTAAAATGATACTGTAATAGCTTGGAACGAGCAGTTTCGGAAGCAATGTTGGTCAATCGTTGACTTCTACGAATTCTCTATTTTACATGATCACTAGTTGATAAAATTCACAATGGATGCTTGTCAATGAGTCAACTAACCTAGTAAGCGCTTACTTTTTTCTCTGAAGTTCGCTTTCTATTCAAATGTTCCGCATAACAATAAACTTTTTGCTGGTTTTGGAAGGACATCTTCCGCAATAAAGAACAGCATTTAGTTACCAATTTCTGTATATGCTGGGATCACCTTTGCACGACGTATACAGTAATGCGATTTTGAAAGGTCTCGTTACCACACGTTCCCCAAAAGTGTTTTTTTCCAATGGCTCATTCAGCGCTGATACAGCAGGAGTAGTTATCAAACTTTTTCCAAAAGACTTTTTTTTTCGTTGGCTGAATCAGCGCTGATTCAGCCCAGGTAGTTACTAAAGCTTTCCCAAAAGTCTTTTTTCGTTGGCTGATTCAGCCGGAGTAGTTACTAAACTTTTCGAAAAAGTGTTTTTTTCGTTGGCTCATTCAGCGCTGATACAGTAAAAGTAGTTACCTAACTTTTTCCAAAAGTCTTTTTTTCGTTGGCTGATTCAGCCGGAGTAGTTACTGAAACTTTCCCAAAAGTCATTTTTTCATTGGCTGATTCAGCGGGAGTAGTTACTGAATCTTTCCCAAAAGTCTTTTTTTCGTTGGCCGAATCAGCGCTGAGAATGAACTGAAGTCGCCGGAAAAGTTGCATAATTTTCCGGCTCGGAGTACTGCTTTTATTTCCATTGATTTCCGAGCCTTTTTCCTTCTGGAAACGTGGATTTTTCCTGCGCTTTCCGGCCAGTTCCATTCGTTTCAGGAGGCGCGAATTATCGCCATGGGTGCACTTTCGAGCTTCGAAATAGACGGAAGTATGTGGTAAACTTCAATGGCGATCTTCGCAGAAATTGAACTCACAAAATCCGACAGAAATCATGTCAATTGGAATCGTTTCCCTGCAGGAGCCGACTATCTGGATTATTAAAGGAAACGATCGGATTTCTCCTTGGATTTTCCCTCCATTTCCGGCCGGATATGGCAGGAAAGTAAGCAGAAAAATCCGGGAAATTCCGTCCCGAAATACTGCTTCCATGAAATCCGCGGAAAACTCGAAAACCGACCGTTTTATTGCCGGATTGTTCGACCTGGGTGACGGCTTCGACAACCTGGGCAAATTTTTTTTTCTAGTAAAAAACATAAAATGATCGATTGAATATGTATTGATGTAAATGGCGCCGGCGCATCATGCTATTTTCAAAAGCTTTTATTCTTGGCAATGGTGTAGCCGCGGCTAAAAAACTCTTCAAACTATCTACGGTTCTCTGGTGGCGGCGGCTCATCTGTAAAGCTTACAGAGTGTGGATGTGGATGTAGCTCTTCTCTCTACTCTCACCCACACACCCATATCCACAGATACACCCTCGAAAATTACGAGAAGATCACAAATAGAGTAGGATTCGAATGTAGAAATGAAATCATGTAAAAGACAGATAATATTCTGGAAGGAACAATAAACTTGTATGTGATGAATGTAAGAAAGTAAACGCAGTGGACTAACTAAGAAAAAGTATCAATATCCATTGCAATTCTGAATTCTTTCTAACGCACGTTCTACTCATATATTCATTGTGCTTATGAGATTTATAAATCATCATAATAAATTACTCACCAAAATGTAATAATTAAAATAAAATAACTCAACAAAGTGTCAACAAAGGTAATTTTCAATTTGGTTGAATGTTGTCTGTGTAAAATGCGTCGTTTGTTTGTTAAAGCGTTCTCTTGTTTCTCGTGCAACAAAAAAGGCTTTTCTTATCTTTCTTCTTTCTACTTTGTTGTTGTTTTTTTGTTTCTCCCCACCGCATGCATTCTTGAAAAGCACCCCTGATGATAACAGTGAAAAACTCAAGGTGAAGAATAGAATAACAATGATGAAAAATAAAAAAGCATCAGTAAATGGAACCCATTTCGGGTGGAGTATATATTAAGGGTGTACTGCTCATGCTTATGAGCGTGAGCGTATATCACTTATCGAAAGCGCGAGCGTCCCTATTCACTTTTTTCAACTATATTCATCGAAAATTGACAATCATAATTTTCATACCTGGGGTCCCATCAGCACCCCAAAAAAAATTTATCGTCGTCCTGTTTCATGTCCTTCCATTTCTGTAACCGTAAGTGTGGGTGTGGGTGTGGGTGTGGGTGGGTGTGGGTGTGGGTATGGGTGTGGGGTGTGGGTGTAGGTGGGTGTGGGAATGTGAACGTGGTTTAGGTGTGTGGGCGTGAATGTGAGTGTGAGTATTAGATTCTATTCACGTACATCCATACCAGGGCTGCCAAATCTCCTGATTTAGCCAGGAGACTCCTGATTTTTAGACTTTTCTCCTGATGAAAAAATCTCCTGAATCCAGGAGCTGATTTTTATGATTTTCTCCTGATTTCTCCTGGTTTTTGTAAAGGATTTTGTCACGTTTAATTGTAGTGATATTTTGAATCAATAAGACAAAGAAAAAGAGAACTATCACACTATTTCATAGATGCAATAGGCAATAAGAAAACACGTCGTTTCTGCTTGTTAGGCCTGATAACATGCGTTTATTTGTGAGCTTATTTTCTTGACGGTTAAAATGT